AGGGCATCTTGAATTTGGCTGAAATTTGAGATCTCCTAGAATTAGGTTTTTATTTGGGCTCTAGCGGCATCTAGAGATTTGGGAGAGATCGATCCTCAATTGTATCTTGTTATTTTTCATTTCCCTTTTATCAAATAATACAAATTATCTATTATTTTTGTGATTTTGTACGAATTTTCGTGGAGAATTCTAGTTGTTTTTAGAAGATTGATAGGAAATACTTGAGATCTACACGTACTTCCTATCACCATCTCATACCAAACAAGCGTGAGGGAAAGATGGAAATGACACCATCTTTATCTAATTGTAACCAGATGAATCATTTATGAAGGAGAATATGTTATGGGATGAAGCAATATCAACCATAAGTTCGAGAATGGAAAGAGGAAAATAGTCATTGGAACATGCCTTATTCAAATCACGGAAATCGATGCAAACATGAATATGATCGCTCTTCTTCCGGATTGGAACAATGTTGGCAAGCCAAGTAGGATTCTTCTTTTCATGAATGAAACTAACTTTTATGAGTTTCTTAGTCTCAGCGATCATCTATTGTTCAATCTTCTAACCTCATTCGATGAGGTGACTGTTTAACAGGTACTACATCAGACTGAATGACTAACTTATGGAACGCTACTTATGGATCTAAACCCGACATCTCAATGTAGTTCCAGGCAAAGAAATCTCTAAACTCATATATGAGCTCAATATACTCTCGGGCTTCTAACTCGAACAGCAAAGCATTATGAAAGATGGGTTGAGGATCTGATTCAGTACCCAAATTAACCTCACGTAATTCGTCCATGGAGAAACTAACGCCATCTTCAAATTCACATGGAGCATCAAAACCATGTCCTCAAAATCATCCGGATCTTCATCATTAGAGATGAAAACAACCGGATAGGAGTGAGATATAACACGAATGCTGGCGGAAGGAAATTACTCTTTCTTAAAATAGCCTAAACCCTGTTGAGTTTGAGTTAGATCTGTTTGCCAAATATGGGCATACTGTAAAGCTTATCCATCAGACCAAGTAGAAGGAACAACATCCCGCTCAACATAGCTATCCACAAAAGATGAAAAGAACCAAGGGAAATGCGTGACCTCATCATCCACAGTGGATTTCATTGGACCCAGTATATCGGTACCTTGTAAGACACCTACACTGTGAAACAATGATGCACGCCCATCAGACTGTGGTGGCACATAGAAAGTATGCAACTCATATACAGAATGACTGTCATAGTGTAGTGAACCACAAGCATTAGTGGAACTGCGGAGGAATGTTGTCGCCTAGATTCCTCGACTCTCATCCCTTACATCTGAAGAAAAAGGGATTATTGGCTAGTATTCTGATATCCGACATCTACGTCGTCGTCTGAGACATTATCAACAAATAGGTTGTCTTCAGGTGTCAGATACATACAAAATGTAGGATATGAACTATAATCATCAACACTAAAGGCTGATGAGATAACTAAATGATGAGGAGCATCGATCATCTCATCATTAGAGGAATCAGATTCGTCAGTCAAAGAGGAAGTGTAAAAATTCGAGGGAGGAGGAATTCGAGTATCAAAATTTCTCACGAGGTGAGCTGAAAAGCTACTTCAGCCTCTACCATGCCATCCCCTACCACTATTAGGGGGAACATCATGCCTACCTGCAAACTAAAAGAAAAATCCAGCATAATTTGTAGTGGAAACATCTTCTCAGTGCAAACCGATGATGGACCCTGCACTAATGGTTGCATAAGACCATGTGCAAGTAACTACATAGGACCCTGTATAATACTAGTAGGTCTCACTAGTGACTGCACAGTGGGAGGTATACAAGCCTTTTGAGGATTTTAATATTCGACATCCTCATAAATAGAGACCTCATGCACGATAAAAAGTTGAGTATCCCCGATAATAGAATATTTCACATCAATCCTCATATACTTCATGTATTTGTGCAATGTAGAAGGCACCATTTTATTCTCATGAATCCAACGCCTTCCTAAAAGAGCTTTGTAAGAGATATCTGCTTCGATAACATAAACTTTGCCTCAGTTCGGAGATCTCCAAAACGCGAAGGAAGGGTAATATACCCTAGAGCACGTTGCCCCTGATCATTGAAACTCTTCAGTATAATCTTATCTTAAATAAGTTTCAAATGATCAAGAGAGAGACTCTATAGAGTGGCATAATTAAGAATATTGACTGAAGCTACTTGATCAATGAGGACCCTATTTAACTCATGACCATTAACTTTAGTAGTGACATACAAGGGAAGATTATGCTCGTAAGTCCTTAAGAGGAGATCATAATCTAGAAAGGTAATACATGACATTTCTCTCAAATAGCATGCATCCTTAATAGACACAGTGACAAAGAAAGCTCGATAAGACTTTGGCTCTAACAAAGCTTTCGTCAAAGTCTCTCTCAAGTCAGAAGACATCATGGGTGCATCATAGACACTGAGAAGAGAATTTTCTCAAATGATCCAACACATTGTAATTAACATCCAACTGACGACATTTTCCCATTTTCTTAACATGTACTTGAGAAGAGATGATAGGATCATCATGCTGTGTAATGATATTCATATCTTTTTCTTTATTATTCTTAGCACAAAAGGTGGAATGACCTTCCTTGAACGCAACTAGATCTCACGCACTGAGAAAAGCTCAACAGAAGACTTATTTGGTCATGGCTTGTGTTGGCGGGGTGTTGTTCCTTCGACTTGATATGATGAACAAACTCTACAGCAAGTCCGTATTTAACAAATTGATCTACCTCAAACTCAGCAAGGTTTAGATTATTTTGAGAAAGAGCAGTTTCCTTCCGCTGACATTCATGTTATATCTCACTCATATATGATTGTTTTTGTCTCTGATGATGAAGACTCAGATGATGTTGAGAACAAGGTCCTTAATGCTCCATGTGAATTTGAAGATAACGTTAGTTTTGCCATGACTGAATTACGTGAGGTTAATTTGGGCACTGAATCATATCCTCGGCCCATCTTTCATAGTGTTTTGTTTCCTGAGTCAAAAGCTTAGGAGTATACTGAACTCATATCTGAGTTTAGAGATTGCTTTGTTTGGAACTACACTGAGATGTCTAGATTAGATCTAAAAGTAGCGGTCCATAAGTTAACTATTCGGTCTGATGTAGTCCCTGTTAAACACACACCTCATCGAATGAGGTTAGAGATCAAGCCAAAGGTGATCGCTGAGACTAAGAAGCTTATAGAAGCTGATTTCATTCATGAAGATAACTATCCTACTTGGCTTACCAACATTGTTCCATTTCAAAAGAAGAGCAGTCAGATTCATGTCTGAACCGACTTCCGTGATTTGAATAAGACATATCCCAATGATGATTTCCCTCTTCGCATCCCCGAACTTATTGTTGATATTGCTTCATCTCATCGTATATTCTCCTTCATAGATAGTTCATCTGGTAACAATCAGATAAAGATGGTGTCACTTTCATCTTTCACTCATGCATGTTTGGTTATGAGATTACTCCTCGTCTAATTTCTCTACTTTGGACCAGTCGAGTGCTTGTGTGATCCGTGCTTGTTGAATAGCCTGATTGAGCCTATCTTCTTTTAGATTATGAGAGCCTAAATATTTCATTATACGTCAAATTCTGAAGAGAATAATATAACATCCTTAATCGAGAATTTTCTTAGGTTGAGGCCTAAGATATAACTAACCACGGGTGTTTGTTCTAGTGGGGAACCGACACCCACATCAAATAAACCTCATTCAAACTAATGTATCGAGTGGAAAAAATTTCATGATTATAGTTTTATACATATAATTATTCATCGATATGTGTAGGTGAAAGTCGCTATTCTCCATAGATAATCATATGTATAATTCAATATGCTCTCTTATGGCGCTTGCGTAGAATGTAAAAGGTCTACGAATGTTTTGTCCTATGGGATAATGGGATCATACCAATTCTATTTTGACTCCAGCTCGTAGCATCCTTTTGGAGACCCACAGGCCACAAGTAACACTATCAAGCTTTGAAATATGTATTTAGAGAAAATAGCCCCATCACCTAGGGTTTAGGGAACTTATTTAATACTAGGTCATCATAAAAACAATTTCCATCATAGATAACAACCTCAAGATTTTTTAAGCTCTTCATTTATGCTCCGTGCAGAATCTAATCAGTCGCAATGGCTGCTCAACTTCAACCCTAAGTTCATTAAAAACAAAAGGATATTTCAACATCCACCTCTAGGATGCTTCTCTACTAGGGGTGTCAATTTCAGGTCAGCGCCGAAGAAATGATGGGAGTTTGCTCGCTACCTCGCCAGCTCCTTTGTTGTTGTTTGACTTCGCTCCTTGGACGATGTTCTCTTCCCGTCGAATCGGAAGTTACAACATTTTGATTGGAAGCAACGCTGGAGTTCGCTCGTTGTGAAGGTTGCTGTTGTACAACTTCGCTCATTGGATGACATTCCCTTCAGGTCGGATTGTAAGTTACAACATTTTGATCGGAAGCAACAACGGGAGTTCACTCGCTGTGAAGAACTTTCTCTGTTTCATGCACTTCTTCAGCCAAATCTCGTAAATATGTCGATTTGGGTTAAAACCGGGTCATTCTCAGGTTTCCGGATTAGCCCGAACCCGACCCAGAATTCAAAACAGGTCGAAAATCAAGACCCGAACTCGACCCATTTCGGGTTCGGGTTGACCCAAACCCAAAATTTTCGTGTCGGGTTCGAGTCGGGTTTTCGGGTCGTGTCAAATATTGACACCCCTATTCTCTACAAACTAAAAAAGTCTACATCTTTCCCAAAAAAAATATTAAGTTTGTCAGAATGTATAGTTCCTTGATCAAGATTTCATTGCAAATGCAAAGGTAACAACTGCCAAAATTCAATTCAAAGTAACTGAACTTAAAAACTCGCAGAACATTTATTCCAGATGAAGCCGTGGGGCAATAAATCATGACAAAAATTAGCAAAGAGTAAAGAGAAACAAAGCATACTTGAGAAGAAGCTGCATATCAGGCCCGGGATAGCGAATCTCAATCACAGTGGAATGGCCAGGCGCAGAGAAAGTATTAAGGCAATCGACGAATAATCCTAGGCTTAGGCCGAACTTAGGCCGGCCCTCAGCAGCATATTCGTACAACATAAAGAGCTGCATTACAGATTCATAAATGGAAAAGAAGGAAAGGAAACCATGAATCATTGTTATTAGGTTAAAAGCGATACTACAACAATACCTCGCGCTTGAGATAGACCTTCGCCTGCAAACAGCCGGTTTCTTCGACGATCAGAACTATTCCGTGTTCCGATAGCTCGATGACTGCGTCCTGCGATGGAAGGAAAGGAAACCCTAGAAATAGCCTAAAAGGGAGAATTGCGTCATGGAAGTAGGATTCTTAGTGGGAGGCCATGGAAGTACTTGGTGGCGCTTCCAGCGGACGGAACTAAGGGCATCCACCATGCCCTGAACGCTGTCGAGCTGGCAAACGAGATCCGGCGCTTCGGCTCCCCCGGCGACAGCATCCATGTCTGCTCTAAAGAGTGGACACTTTGGGCGAGATGGCCGGCCCGTTTTTTTCCCGCCCTATCTTCGGCTAGCCGAAAATATTTATTGTTTAATTATTATTAAAAATATTTTATTTTTTTTTAGTATTACAAAATATTTTTAAGAGTTTAATAGCTAATGTCGTTTAGGAGTAATTATGTTGCAAATGTTTGAAAATTCAATTTATTAAACATTATAATATAAAATAGAATTATATATTTAAGATACTTTGTGGTGACTGATTATTTATAAAATAAATTTTGGGGTTAAATTTTCTTATTTTGTTATTTATAATGTTGGCAATATTTGATAAATGATGTTGGCTGGCAATGATGATAGTGGAGGGAGACCACTGGAGGTAGAGGCAGTGGCTAGTGGTGACTAGTGATGAGTTGAGACATGGCAATGGCAGGCAAATGGTCCCTCTAAAATCTTTAAATGCTTTTTTACTTGTAAAATTTTAGATTTTAGAGTTATATATATCATTCGAAAAAAAAAAATTTGATGGTGCCTTAAAATTTGTCAATTTGTGCTCCAATAAGAAAAAATCTGGACTTTACTATTAGTGGCAATGATGAGCAAAGTTTCATAGACACGATGTACTTGAAATTCGTCAAATTGATTGAATTCAAAATACAATAATAATGAATTATGTAGGAATTCCAAATACCTAAGATAATTAGTTTGTATTTTTTTTTTTTAACCAAACACTAGAAATTTCAAATCTACTATATTTAGTTTATTGTACAATATTAATACTTATTATCAAATAAGCCCTTATTTTTACCATACTCTAGCAAATATGATTGTAAACAAGTTACTTCTCTTTATATAAATTAATAAAAAAGAAGGTTGTTAGGAAAATAATAATAATAATAAAAGTTGCCCCATGGAGACCCTTAGACTGAAAAAACTCCTAGGTAATTAATGAAAGATATTTAAGTTATGTATTATTAATCTAAATTTTTTTTTCTTTTAAGCTATGTTTTGAATCTTGTAGCATTTCTCTGTTTTTTTTTTTTTAATAGTTACTTTCATAAATATTGATGTTCAAAATGATTGGCACTCAACTTTGAAGAAATAAAGCCATAACTCATAAGATAAATAACGTATGACATGTACTGCTTCTTAAGTCTACTTTTCTTTTCATTTGGAAACTCTCATATTGATTTAGGGTGTTATGGGCCTCTTAATAAAAATTCAAGAAGCGAATAGCTTTTGCATTTGCCATCTTGAAATAATATGATTTTTATTAAATTAATGTGATTTTAGATTATAGGGCACTTTCATTATGGTTCTGAATTTGCTTTAGGTGACTTAAAACAACTCTATTGTTAAGCGTATATACTACTAAAAAAAACCCATACAATTGGGTAACCTCACCTGTTACTAGGTAGCTTGGGCAAATCTTAGACAATTATGTATAACTCACACTCAATATAGGGGATCCACTTATGATTTACTTTCTCATAGTGTAATTCATATGAGTCCCTATTAAACTAAGCATAACACTAATGAGCTAATACGCTTTGCTTAAGTAGTCATTTCATTGATGACACTTGAATTAAGCATGATTATATGCTAAACTTTTAATGGTATTAGGCCATTATGTTCACTCAATTAAACTTGGTCATGATGAAACTTATTAAGTTAAGCTTGTGGACCTCTACCCAACACTAAGGTGTCCCCAAAAATTAAGTGAACCAACCAAAGATTAAATGACAATAAGCCTGATCGAAGTCTGCCATGAATTACTCTATGGTTGAGTAAGCTAACTCTAGTCAAAGTTGATCATATATGGTCTATTTAATTTAATTGAGCTCTTATTAAGCTAGCTCTTAAACTTTTTTTTCTCCTTTTCATTATTTTCAATCTTCTCTTCTTCACTTCGAGGCCTATCTTTTAGCACTTCTTTTTTTCTTGATCGTCTCTCTCTCTCTCTCTCTCTCTCTCTCTCTCTCTCTCTCTCTCTCTCACACACATTTTTGTTCATCTTAATTTAATTTATTGCTTGTTAAGAAAATGTGGTGATAAAAATATAAGTTATCATCTTATATTGCATAAAAAATAATATACATAAAAATCAAGAGAGGAAGATGGATGGTGGTAGGAAGGGGAAGAGAGAGAGAGTGTGTGTGTGTGAGTGTGTGTATGTGTGCATCACACATAAAGAAAGAAATTCAACTTGAGAATTATGAAGAAAATTCATAGTACGTAGGCCAATTTAAATATTAATCAGCGGCCTTCGATTTTGTAGGCAGATGGGGCATCTGCATAGGCAATGGAAGTGCAATAAGACATCCATAGTTGGATGTTGTGAGCATCAAATGTTTGATGTCAGATCACATAATGAGTTTGTCATTCACAAACATTTAGAATTAAACATCAACACATAGTAGCAATTGGATATGTACAAATGATAGTCAGTTTGGTAGATGTTCGATATTGTGGACAGATTAGCATGTGATTTCGATTACAATGAATATAAGGAGTTAGAGCCTTAGAGGTAGTAGAGCTAAGCACCAAAAATAATAATCAAATGTAATCATTAAGTGATGTTAGTTAACATACTTTGGCGCTACTCTTCAATGGGAAGTCGGGCGATAGTGAACATCATGAATTGGCCATTATTGGATATTTGCATATTGCAAAAGCAAAACAACATTGGTTAGTTAACATCTATCACTGTGTGTTAAAGAGCATCAGTGAGGAAAACAATGAATATCGTAAGTCAATAAATGCTTTTTTTTTCCTCCTCAATGATAGCGAACCTTGCGAGCTAAAAAATCTAAGAGAAGTTCAAACAAACAGACCAATATAATTCGCTTTTGGATGCTTCCATTCGTCTCGTTGAGACACTAATTTGAATTATCGACATACAAAATAAATTAGATAAAAATCATTAAGTTCAATGCTTTATGATATCTTTTCTCAAATAGTCATACTAAATATCAATAAGACAACTACAGCTTAGAACTACAGTGACATAAAACCACCATAAAAGTGGTCCAAACAATTATCTTGTTGAGATGCAGACGTAGCATATACTATCATCTTCATCATTCTTTCCTTTTCAAACTCATTTCAATTCAAATAATGAAGCATGCATAATTAGCGGTGAAATATTTGCGGCAGTTGCTGTCAGTACAGAGTCATAATTAGAAATATGATTGATTTTCAACATTTTAACACCTCATTTGATTTGACGATCGATGTTAGCCTCATAGTACTGCCAAAACTAATCAAATAATACAAATCATGCGGTGATTTTCTTAGATATAGGCAATTTATTTTGATCTGTTGGTTGGGAGTTTTGACTATCGATTAAGAGATTTTGGATTTGAGTCTTGTGTATGTGATGTTTATGTGAATTTGTTTTTATAGGTTCAATATTCCCAGAAAAATCTTCTTAGGTTTCGTTCGGAATAACTTTTTATTATTTTTTAAAATATTTTTTTAATATACATTTTTTTGAACTATAATTTTTGTATTAAAAATTTACTTTAAATATAGAACAAAAAGACTATCCCAATGAAATCATAACGGTTTAATATAGGGGTGTCAAAATATATTTTTGTTTTAGATTCAGGTCTAATTCGAAACCTACCTGCTCTTGACTGCTCCAACCTAAACCCAAATTGATTGCACAAACGGATCAAAAATTTGAACTCAGATCACGCTCATCGCCAAGCACCTAACGTTCAAAAAAAAAAAAATCTTAGCCGTTTAGTCATGCATTTATTGAATCATCAATGAATAGTCTTCTTTGTTTGGCGCCTACTAGAGTGAAAAAGAGTCAAAATATTCACATCAAAATTTATTGATAAATATTTATATATATCTATTAGATTAATGAACAAAATTTTTTCGAATCGGTTTTATTATTATTATTATTTTTTTTTATCTGGGCGTAGTCGCTTTGAGAAAGATAGCGACTGATAATCAGTCGCAAACACAACTCTCCTTGGCCTATTGGTTGAGAGCTTAGGTTTCCAACTAAGAGGTTTAGGGTTCGAGTCTATGTGTATGCGTTGTGTGTGTGAGTTTGCCTTAAATGGCCTAAATCCATACATATTTGGAAGGGTCAAGGCATTATTTGGATGATGAAATGATATTCAAATAAACCATGCTTGTAATCAAATCGAGCATCTCGGCGAGACGAATCCAACGAGCCCAAGATCTCTGAATTCCGACATAATTAAGGCACATAAACAGTTGAAAAACTAGGTACGATCGGGTAATCAATACGAGTCATCCGATGGAGCACTCCAAACCTTCCCCGGATCTTCTTTAGATTTACGGGGTGTGCCACTCATGAAAATCTATAAATAGACCCTCACTCTCTACATGATGGGGATATTTTGCTGGAGATTGGAGAGAGCTCTGAAGCTTCAAGAACTCTAGCACCACCGCTCGGCAGCTGACCACTGCCGGACTTGAGCCCAATCATTGTCGGACCACCGCCCGGCCACCGGCCATCGCCGGACTTCATCCCGACCTTCGTCAAACCTCCACCTGGCCACTGACCGCCGCTGGACTTCAGCCCGACCTTCGTCGGACCACCGCCGGACTTCAGCCCAACCTTTGTCGGACCTCCGCCCGGCCGCTGACAACCGCCCGGCCGCCATCGCCGTCGGACTTCAGCCCGACCTTCATCGGATCACCGCCCGGCCACCGAGCACCGCCGAACTTCAGCCTGACCTTCGTTGAACTTCAGCCTGACCACCGCTAGCCGCCGATTGCCGCCGGACTTCAGCCCGACCTTTGTCGGACCACCGCCCGGCCGTCGAACTTCATCCCGACCATCGTCGGACCACCGCCCGACCGCCAACCACTGCCAGACTTCAGCCCGACCTTCGTCGGACCTCCGCCTGGCTGCCAACCGCCGAACTTCAACCGACCTTCGCAGACAGCCGCCAAACTTTCGCCCTGTCCACCCGATTGCCATCAGACTTCAGTCCGACCTTAGTCGGACTATCGCCCGGCCATCATTCCCCACTGGACCTTCGTCGGATCAT